GTCTGTCTATGAAACACATAATGATCTGTCTGACATCGAAGAAGACCAAATTCTACAACTGCATCTGAAAATTTATCAAATCATGCCCTCGGTGACTACTTCAAATCATACAAATATTTCTTTAACAGACATACACTCTTACCATACTCCCCCTGAGCAGTAAACCCAAGTGGCTGCTTCATGTATACCTCTTCAACCAAGTTACCATGTAGGAAGACATTCTTGACATCTAACTGAAACAAGAGTCAATCAAGATTAACAGTCAAAAAAATTAAGATACGAACAGAGAAAATTTTGGCAACATGAGAAAAAGTCTCCTCATAATCAACATCATATGTCTAAGTAAAGCCCTTTGCAACAAGCCGAGCTTTGAGACGCTTCACAAAGTCATCTGGATAAAATTTAACAGTATACACCCAACGACACCTAACAGTTCGTTTACCAGGAGGTAAAGGAATAAGATCCCAAGCTCCATTATGATGTAAGACATCCATCTCCTCCTCCATAACTTTCCTCCAATCCGAATTAGATAATGCATCCTGTAAATACTTAGGAATAGATATAGTAGATAATTGAGAAGTAAAACAAGATAACACAAGAGATAAGACATCATATAAAACAAAATGAGCAATGAGATGATTAGTAACACATGAAAGAGTACCTTTTCGAAGAGAAATAGGTAAAGAGTCTAAATTACCTGATGTACCAAGATCAGAAGGCGACAAAAAAGACAGTACGGGCACCTCAGTCGATGGGCGACGACAGCGAGAGTAGACACGGAGAGGTAAAATAGATGGTAACACAGTGGGTAGCGGAATATCTAAAGATGAAGAAAGAGATTGTGGTATAAGAGATGACCCAAAGTCCAGATCTAAAGGCTGAGAAGGTGCTAGAAAATATGGAACAAATTCCTCAAACGTGACATCGACACTAGTAAAGTATCGGCGCAGCGAAGGATTGTAGCAACGATACCCCTTCTACGTGCGGGAGTAACCAAAAAATACACATTTGGTAACTCGATGGTCTAGTTTGTCAAACTCAAAACTCAAATTGTGAACATAACAGACACATCCAAAAACCTTAGGAGTCAGGGAAAATAAGGGCTTGCTAGGAAAGAAGACAGAATATGGATTTTACCCATTTAACATAGAGGATGACATACGATTAATAAGGTGACAAGCAATAAGAATAACATTACTCCAAATATATCGGAGAATATTCATCTGAAATAACAAGGCACGAGTGACTTCCAACAAATGACGGTTCTTATGTTCAACAATACCATTTTGGGGAGAGGTGTAAGCATAAGAAGTCTGATGAATAATGTCAACTTTACTAAGATAAGCTGAAAAGGGATCAAATTCATATTACCGAGCATTATCAGAACGTAAAGTACATATACGACAATCATATTAAGTTTTTATTTCTTTACGAAAGGTTACAAATATAGAGAATAATTCAGACCGACCTTTCATCAAAAACAACCAAGTCACACGAGAATAGTCATCCACAAAAGTCACAAAATAATGATATTTATTAGATGAAATATTTTTTATTGGACCCCATACATCAGAATGTACTAACTCAAATAGACTCTAGATTGAAATGACACACGGTGATGCTTACTAAGTTGACAAGCTTTACAAGACAAAGACGACACATAACTAAGACTGAAAACTTGGTTCTTCAGATTCTGGAGAGAGGGATGTCCAAGACGACAATGTCATTGAAAAGGAGACAACAAGGTCTGTAGCGTCTGGGTAGGTGAATCAAAGTCAAGGTAATATAGACCACTAGCTTCATGCCCGATACCAATCTTCCTCTTCGTCTTGAGATCCTGAAAGACACAATAAGATGGATAAAAGGTTACATAACAATTAAGAGAACATATAATCTTGCTAATGGAAAGTAAACTAAAAGAAAACTGATGAATAAATAACATAGAAGATAAGGACATATCAGGACTCAAGTGAGTAGTCCCCAGACCTGAAACTTTAAAACAAGTATCATTAGCAAGAGTAACACTACATGTAGAAATAGCAGACTAATAAGTAGAAAAAATATCAAACGCACCAATCATGTAGTCAGAAGCACCAAAGTTTATGATTCAGGGACTGCGAGTAGAGGATAATAAACAAGTGAAAATAGTATCTAACTGGGCAAAAGTAGTAGTGGAGGGAGATGAGACAACCTACTGCTAGGATAGAAACTGAGCATACTCCTCCCGTGTAAGAGTAACTGACACAGAGTTAGGTGGAGTGGACCGAGGTATAGCGGCAGGAGTCTGGGTGTCATCCTGATAAGAAACCTGATTAGCAACAGCCAAAGACTTACCATGTAAATCCCAGCAATTATCAATAGTGTGGCCTCCACCACCACAGTGAGAGCATGAATGAGACCTTGAACACCCTCCACGACCTCCAATACGACTGCCAATACGGCCTCCCCGACTACTACGATTACCACGGCCACCTCGAGAACTATCACCATGGCTACTCGGAACAACAAGAGTTGAACGATCAGCAGGCACACCAGACTCTGTGTTGGATGAACTGGTAGAGAAGGTAGCACGTTGCAGGCGGGAGAAAACCTCCAGTAGAGATAGAAGACTAGGGCCACCAAAAATCTGAGAACGAATAGACTCGTATTCAGGTTTCAACCAGCTAAAAATCAAACAACATTCAAATCTTCATGTTGTTTCTATCAAATCGCTACATCAGTAGTAAAGGGGTGGTAGAGCCTCAACTCCTCACATACTCCCCGAACATGAGAGTAATAGTTCTCAAGATTCAAAGTACCCTGCTCCAGATGAAAATATTGTTTGCATACTTCATATGCACGAGTAAAATTCCCGATGCCAGAATACATAGTGGCCAAGTGATCCCAGATCTCTTTGACCATGTCAAGATAAAGCAAAATAGAACTGATATTTGGCTCAATACTTTTCAATAACAATGAAATAATTTGAACATCTTCTTGTTCCCACTTATCATACCCAGGAGTACCTTCCTTGGATTTAGTATTCACTAAATATTTCTTAAAACCTTTACCTCTAAAAAACACTTGAACAGATCGTGATCACAAAACATAATTGGTCCCATTGAGTTTAACAGATGTCATGGGACCATTAAGTAGGACCATAGGGGAAAAATTTGGTGACATGGATGGAATAAGATCAGCTTGACTATCATCATTTTTATTCTTGGGTTCCATAATAATATAGCAATAATAGAACCAAAGGAAAAAGGAGAAACCGTCATACCAAGGCTGGAAGAACACCAAGGAGCACGGAACAATGGATTAGGTGCCTAAACCAGACCAAACAAGGCTGCTAGAGGGCTGAACCGGACAGCCTGTGCTAACTGAACTGCTGAACCGGAGTAGATGCTGACTGAACCGGTGGGAAACTAGCTGAACCAGATTGAAGAAAAAGGCTGGACCGCTAAACCGGATCAACAACTGAATAAAACCGATTTGGGATCAAACCGGGATTTACCCGGTCTGGGCTAAACCGTGAACCGATCTAGGCTGGATCGTGAGCTTAACCGAAGACTGAGTGGGCTGGATTAAAAATAATTCAAACCCGTGACCCGTGGAGTTGGTTGGACCTTGTCTTCTTCGTTGATAGGGTTTCAGAAGGCCTAGTCTTCAACGGCAGCACCTAACAGCTACTCTACTACAACGAACAATTACGCCACAACGAATAACACCACAATAGCACCACCATAGAGACAAACAAGAATGATAGCACCACCACGATCAACACCACCACAATCAACAACACCACAATGCCACAGTCGACACCACCACAGTCGACAACACTATAGAGGTCATCACAACAATAGCACCACACTACTACACCAGATAGCACAACAACCACCGACGTCCACAGAGGCCACCATAAGCGTTTTCACCACCACAATGTCTTCGACGACAGCACGCTAAATTTTTTTATTTCTTTATTTAGGATCTTAATTGCTCTAATATTATGTTAAGTTTAGAGTTAACACAATATTAGAGAGAATTGAGAGTGGTTAAAAACTTAACCTAACTTTCATACATCACTTATATTTATAGTTAACTCACAATAATAAGAATTACACATACATCATTTTACTATTAACAATTTACACATACTACCATAATATTCTTAACAATATATAAATCATCATGATTAAGTACATATTTTTTAGCACATAAATTTGCACATCTATTTATCTTTCTTATCTTTTACTTAACCCATACTTTTTGAAATACAATTTATTATTTCATTACTGTTTTTATGTTCTTTTTATTTGTTTTGTATGTTGTTCATAAAATTATAGTATTACATGATCGACTATCAGTATACATTTATGATTCTTTGTTATTGAATTATTTTACTATTTTTTTATTATCCTTAACTTATTTATGTATGTAGCGTTCATCTACTATTTTATTGTGTTTTATTTTTTTCGGTAATAACATTATTGAATTTTTTTTTGATATTATTTATTTTTTATTTTGGATCTTTTATGAAAATAAATAATTTAATTAGTTGGTATTTTTATGTTTAAATGGAAACAAAATTAAGTTTGAAAAAAATAAAAAATGTGTTTGATTTATTTTTATTTATAGAAGAGAGATAATGTGTATGTGTGAAGTGGATTATACTTTTCGACCTAAATTTTAAATTTTATTTTATTGACTTAATCTTTCAAGTAGGGGTGTTGTTCAAATTTTTCCATACCCGATCAATTTCGACCTTACCCAACCTAATGGATCAACTTCCACAAAAATTAGCCGGCTAATAAAAGAATTTTTGATTTTTCGGGTACGAATGCAAAATTCTCGTAAAATTTCCGCATTCCTCCTACCGACCTGAGTCAACCCACATGTATAATTTTTTTTAAAAATATATACATGTTAATGTATGCACAAAAATCCTAAAATTCCAAGCGCATCCTCCTCTTCGAGTCTCGGAGACTGTCGCCTCTTTCTTCTTCATCTTCTTCTCAGTCGATTGATCCCTAGCGCCTCCTCCTCTTCGAGTCTCAGAGACTCTCGCCGCCTTCTCTTCGAAGTCACACGCATCCCAGGTTCTCTCTCTCTCTCTGTATGACAGTCTCTGTGTGAGTCTTAATTCCTTTTGTTTTTCTGAAATTGAAATCATATGATTAGAGTTTCAGGAGTTTTTTTGTTAAGCTAAATTATAATGAGGTTTAATCATTGATCTATATCTCATTATTGAACTCTAAAATTTGGGGCCTTTTAATATGCAGGGCTTAAAGCCCATGCTTTTCTGAATATACTGTTGAGCCGGCGGCCATCGCTAAATTTGTCCTTCTGACTCAAGAGTCTAGCTCAGCCTCTGTTAAAACTGTATGCTTCTTTAAATTTAGCTAGTGTGATTACTTTGTGGTCCTTTTTTATTATGCTGTTATGGATTGATTATTTTCTTATAATAGTACACTTAGATTGGTGCTCCTTTTGGCAGCTTGTAATTGGGAGCTTTGAATTTTGCAATAACCAATTAAGGTTTTTTTAACTAATTTTGCCGCAAATTTCAAACTTCCAAATTCTGGATATTTAACAGCCAATTTGAGTTGCATTATAGATATTCTTCTCCAGTTATTCACGTGCCAATTCTTCTTCACCTCCATATATTAAGTCTGATTTAAACATTTATCTCGGTCAAACTTTTTGACTTTGTGTGGAAATTAACCTGGATTCTCTTAGGCAAATGCCTTGTTTGTTCCCTAATGACTCAGGCATGGCTAAGCCTAGAGTTGAAATTAACTTGTTTTTAGTCTTAAATCCAATTGCTGCTGAATTTTTCAAATTGTCAACTAGTTTTCTTTCCGGTTCAAATGACCTTTTGCAACCATTTTCTAAACAAACCTTTTAAATTTGGAGTGACGTGTCTGCATTGTACAACCATGCAATCAATGCAAAATGTAGCATTGGTTAAGAAAAGAATAAAATGAAATTAGGCAAACCGTAGACTAGTTTGTGATCCCATTTTGATTCAAATATTTTGCAAAATTATACAGAAAGAGTTGGCCATTTTGTTACAGAATGGAGTTCCTCCCACATATTGTGGTGGCCAATCACTACTTTATCACTTTTTTTATCAGTTGAAGTTAGAATGCCACTTGTTAAAGTATCACGATCAGTTGTTTCCTGTGCCTCCTCTTTGTCATTTCTTCCTTCTTCAGCTATTTCTTAAATGCAATCCTTTGGTGATTTTCTCCATGGAATTAGAAAAGTGGGGCAACCTTGATTCTGAATTTTGAAGGAAGGATAAAAAGTAGGATTTTTTTCAAGCAATGTAGCCAATGATATTTTTCAGGGATCGTCAGAAGAGTGGATAACCTTCACTGCAATTCTTCGATGGTTTAAAATAATACATCTTTGAGCGGTTAAAAGGTTCCCCAAGGATTAATAAAAAAATGACTGTTTCTAGTTCATTCTGGGTTTTGACTAATTTTGTATCTTTCTTTGGGGATGCAACTTTACGGCATCATGAGTTTTATACAGGTAAACAATTATTTCATAGGCAATGGGTGTAGGAGGCCTGAGACCATGCTATTATTTGTATTTCCTTGCTGGGAACATTCAATTGGTGGTCACCCTTGTCAGTGCTACCATTTGTTGCACCTAAACCTAGTTGTTCATCTCGTTAATTATGAGGCTTTGACATAACCTGATGTTCCCTTTTGCTGCATTATGCATACCTGTAAAGTTTAAAGACTAGATGTTTGCATTTTATGGATACAGGGTTTAATCAGTGACAGTGCGTACAATTTGCAAGGACACGATCCATTAGTGAAATCACCAATGGAGTAAATTGATATTCTGTTTGATAGTAATCTATAACCTTGTCATCAATGGCTCGCAAGGGAAACCAGCAGAGGAATGGGTCGGATCACCATTCATCAAGCCGCAAAAAACGAGTTTCAGATCAAGGGTCTGCATTGCCAAATACACATGAGAGAGGAAAAGTAAATGAGGCAAAGATTGGTTCTGGGGAAGAACTTGCTAGTGGTGATCAGCGAAGGATACCTTTAACAGAAAGCGTGGATAATACAGATCATGTAGGCAATGATAGGAAAAGCAAACCAAAATCTGAGAAATTTCTCAGAAGAGAGAAGCAAGGTATGGATGCGAGACAGGATATCAAGCAACCGCTGACAGGTGGCAGTAATTCAGGAGATTTTATCGAAAGGATATCCTCAGTGGAAGTATCTGATTCAGGAGATGATATTGGGGCATCTCCTAATGGTAATTATGATCCAAAAGATCCAGAAAGTAATTTTAGCCGCTTGCCGAACAGATCGCACACAGATGATATGGTGGGAAATGTAGAATTCTCAGGTACAGTGGTTGTTAAACGCCTGAAGGATTTAGCATTTTCTATTTGTAAGGCATCTACTGATTGGCTAGAAAGGCAGAAACCATTGCTTGTTGCTTTGAGAATGAATATACTGAACTCCCGTGATTATGTTCGAACGAAGATTGAGCATGCATATCCAATTTTCTTGAAATGGATCATGCCTTTTGGGAACATACTGCTTCTACTATCTATCGTTTGGTTGGACTGTACTCTCAGGGGTATTGACTCCTTTCTACGCCTGGGGACGACATCATTTTTCTCAGTTATATGGTGCAGCATATTCTCACTCATTGCAATGATCGGAATGTTCAAGTTTCTCATGGTTCTGGTAAGCCCTAGTTGATGCCACATCTTAACATGTGACTTTTTCATTCCCCTTGCACATCAAAAGATTGATTATGGAATCTAATCGGTTTTAAATATTAATTTATCTCGCTGTGTATTTGAACCCAGTAATTCCTCTGATTAGTAGCTGTTGCTCTATTTATTATCCACCACCATTCCGAAGTGATGTGCTTATAAATTGTTTTAGGAGTTTGAGTGCACTTTGAAATTGAATTTATCCATTAGGGTCTATAGATGTGCTTCTATTCTTCCATTTTATCATTGTGGAATCATTACCAAAGTGAGAGCATTGATTTCTAAAACTAATGTGATTTCATTAGTTCTTGGTGGCTTCTCCTTTCTCAAGTAAGCACAACTTTTGGTTCCTCCAAATGTTGGGAAAACACTATTATCTGTTCAGTTTACATGAAGCAGTATTTTAAATTTGATGTACTATTCCCTGAAGTCCTTGTTGGCAGCTTTACCGGCTTATAAGTTGGTTTATATTAGCTTCCTGAATGAATTCTGATAATTATTCAGGGCATAGCTGCTGTGATGGCACTTGTTCTTGGGTTCACCATTGCATTTGTGTTTATTGCAATGTCTGGGGTTGTATTCTTGTGGCTGTATGGAAGCTTTTGGACAACAGCACTTGTCATTGTCTCTGGAGGTGATGTTTGACTTTTATCTTAGCATTATAGACTTGTGTTCTCCCTGTATCTTTGTGTTTGGCTCTGAGCTTGGTTGTTTTTCACAACACAGGGCTGGCATTCACGTGGAGCCATGAACGTCTAGCACTTTTTATCGCCACTTTATATTCTGTATACTGTGCATGGATGTATGTTGGATGGCTTGGTTTACTTTTGGGTTTGAATTTGTCATTTATTTCAAGTGATGCTGTGATATTCTTCCTGAGGAACAATGTAAATGAGCATAGAGGGCCTAGACCCCCTGAACAAACAGCTGGAATCGGAGGTCAACCAGGTTTCTTCCCGGGTGAGCCAATGCATGGTTCATCCTCTGAAGTTGGTTCTGGTCTACCTGCTGATCGTAGTCCAGGAGTACCCTCAACCAGTGGATCTGAATCTGAGATAACGTCGGAAGATGAAGTTATTAGGTTGTTAAAGTCTACAGATCACTATTCGGCTTTGGGCTTGTCCCGATTTGAAACTGTAGATGTTTCCATTCTCAAACGGGAATATAGGAAAAAGGTGAGTATCATATGTTGCTTACCTAAAATGTCAGTATCTTGTATCATGTTTTCACCTTGGACTATAGTTTGCTATATTCTCTTGGAAGTTTGAGCAACCTCACTGGTGAGTATTGTGTGCGTTATGGATTATGTTTTGTTTTGTGAAGCTATAGGGTTCTTCTGTAGTTATCTGGATTGTCGTATATGTTGTTTCTGTGTAATTTGGTTATTCCATTTTCAATATAGTAGAAAGATTTGCCCTCTGAGCTTTTCTGATTTTTTTTAATCAGGCAATGCTGGTCCATCCTGATAAAAACATGGGTAATGAAAAGGCTGCAGAAGCTTTTAAGCAACTTCAAAACGCATATGAGGTACGTCCTTTTGTCTTCATTTTCTTCTCTTATCAGTTTTCAATGAATAATCTAAATTTGATTCCTGACTATTGGATAGGGTTCTTTTTTGTAGGTTTTACTTGATTCTTTTAAGCGGAAAGCATACGATGATGAACTGAGAAGGGAGGAGCTGCTGAATTATTTCCGCACATTTCAAAATGCTTCTCAAAAGGTTTGAAAAATATCAACTTTGTACTCTACTAGCGTGCATCTATGTAAAATACACAGTCTACCTAACTTCTTTCCCTTCCCCAGTAATGTATTCTTTATAGATAAATGCCATTAAGTGGGGAAGTTTAACTCAGCAGCCATGCTTCACCATATCATTTATCTGTTTCATTTTATATTTCTAAAGTGTTTGTTATTGGTGGTTGCTCTGAACTCTGACATTGTCTTATGATTGCTAGACTATCAAGTTTTGCCTACTAGGATCTGTCCTAAATTTAAAGTATTATTGACATCCCTATGCAACTAGTTGCTATTGTGAGTGTTCTCATTTTCAAAAGTAGTCGGAAAACATTGTGAGCTTACTTTTTCACTTGTTGAATACTATACCCTCAAACATTCCAAATAGTCTAGGCAATGTGCCCTTTCATTCTTCAGCTTTCTTACTTATGTCTTCTCCTTGCTTAAGCTTTGGGAAATTTATTTTGCAGAATAGAGGGCAGGGGTTCTTTGCCTCTAGATTTGCTCACACAGAAGCTGATGGTGAGGACCCTCATGGAGAGTCCAGACGGATTGCTTGCAGGAAGTGTGGCAACTTTCATCTCTGGTTTCAGACCAAGAAAATAAAATCTAGGGCACGATGGTGCCAGGTTCTCTCTCTCTCTCTCTCTCTCTCTCTCTTTTAACTTTTCAAGCATCCATTATTAAAAGGAAGCATATGCTATTAAAATGTCGCAAGACCTCATCCAGATTTCTAACTGTTGCAGGACCTCATCCAGATTTCTACTTGCATTATGCTCTTTCTTTGACATAAAACAGATATTTTACGTGGATCTTATGTTTTCTTTCTGAATCCCCTTTAAAAGGACTGCAAAGATTTTCATCCAGCCAAAGATGGAGATGGATGGGTTGAGCAGTCTTCACAACCCTTCTTTTTCGGAATATTGCAGAAGGTATGGATCATTGGTACAGCCAAAAAAGGAACTATATAATGAATTCTTCTCTTTTCATCCTCTTGATATACTACAATCTGCTTTTGTACTAATTATGCGCAGGTAGATGCTCCTTCTGCATATATTTGCGCAGATAGCAAGATATATAATGCAACTGAATGGTATACTTGTCAGGTAAAGGTTTTAGCTTATTAACTGATTTGATGTCTCTCTGGATTCTAGCATTCCTCGTGAATTCATGTCATCAGGACTGTTATGGTGGCAGTGCGCACTTGTATAGTTTAAATATCAGGGAGTTATTTTGTATTTTCGTGTGCGTGAACAAATTCTCTGAGCTTATATCGGCCTAAAAACCATTGCAGCTGAATTGAATCCATGTACTAAGCAACTAGAAGTGAGGACTTAGTAATTCTGAATTTTGGTTTAAGAGTTTCTCTGTTGAGATGCTTGGATGTCTGATGAGGTTTTAATGGGTCTATATATTTTGCGAATTTTGAAATTTGTTCATTTTGTTTATTGATGCCACTTCAAGTGCATCTTAGGTTTTTTTTGAAGCTGGTCTCTTTATTTCACGTGTTTATTTATAGTGTATCTTTTGGTGATGCTGAGTCAACCTCGGTGGCATATCCTAATGCCTCACTATTTAATTATTAAAACCTGCGGTGTGCTGGCCATTTCTAGTGTCATATTTCACATGTTTAGTAAAATAGTAGAAGTGTGGGACATGATTCAGAAACATATTGAATGAGTTTTGTTAGGAGACTGCAGCGCTTATTTTAAACTCATGTTCAGTCATCAAAAAGACTACATCTGATAAGTAGAATGTTTCAATTTTGGGTGTCGTGACCTATATATCTAAGTTTGCTGTAATTAAATGATCTAGATCACAAATGCCCAACTTTGATGTGCATTATACTGGAATATTGTTGCAGGGAATGAGATGTCCAGTGAACACACACAAGCCAAGCTTTCATGTGAACACGAGTGTAACCTCAAAGCATAACAATGGGAAGGGAACGAGCTCCGGACAAAGAGGTGGGATGCCGGCATCTAATATGGAAGAGACCATGACGGAGGAGGAATTTTTTGAGTGGTTACAGAATGCCGTGCAAGCTGGCGTGTTTGACAATTATGCTGGGAGTAGTTCAGAAAGTCCATCTTCCCAGGCTGTAAACAACTCCAAAAGCGGGAGCGGTGGTGGTGGCAGTAGTAGCACTAGTGGCAGCAAGAAAAAGAAAAAAGGAAAGAAGCCATGGTGAGCATTTGGAATGTATCTCACACCCTGTACGACTGTAGGGTAAACATTGTAGAGGGCTAATAAACCTAGCCTAGGTGAAGGTCTGTGGGCTTTTACGAAAGGTGGCCCTGTGAGAGGTCTAGCTGCTAATTGTATACATGCATGAAGTAAACCACCCTTAAGCATGCAGTTATGTACAGCCTTTTTGGACCTTCATCTCATTTTGGTTCCGACAGAAAGGGGAGGCATATCATATTGTACTCACCAGTTATTTATGGAATCTTGTCTTGTCTTGTCTTTTCTTTTCTTTTTTCCTTGTTTTTTTTATTCGGAAAAAATTATACTATTAGTCAAAAAAAGAGTGGATTTGGTATGCTCCCTTTTTATTTACAGTTATTAATAATCAATTACAAGTTTACTATGATGACGCCATTTTTTTCTTTCTTTCAACGAACTGTAATTTTTCTTCTACCACTTAAAAGATTTAACTAGCTACATTTGACTACTTATTCTAAAAAAAAAAAAACTTATTCTAAATTTCTAATCTCCTCTCACTTTCCGATTATTCTTTTTTTTCCCTATCTGTACAGTACACGGGTACTGTGTAAGTACGGTCCCCAATCTATTGAAATTGAAAGGCTGTGGGTGATGAAATAGTTATTCTAGGTTATTCGTAGCAAATTAAAGAAAAAATAACACCCTACAAGCTATGATGAAGTCTGCGTAATCATGCCCAGCCCTGTCCATTCTAATGGCGTTACAAGAATTATAAGCTGAAGAAGAAAAAATGTCAAAAGGAAACGGAATTACATTGCTAATCATGCCAAGAGTCTCAACAACCACCTCCCCATGGGCTTAGTTTCTGGTATTGCAGGACTGGACCCCCAAAGACTTGAGCCCAAATCGAAGGCCCGGTTTGAACCCGTTTTAAACCGATCTATTTTAATCAGCTTTGACCAATCAGTATACGAACTCGGTAGTGCTTTACAAGAAGAAAGAACAAAAGTTACAAAACACAGCCGAGTGGAGTCCTTCCATCTCTCTCCTCTCCTCTCCTCTCCTCTCCGGCCAATTTTAAGGTATCGTATGATATGCGTTTGTGTAATTCAGTTTTCGTCTGCGTACAAGCTTATTAGGATTGTTTCTGTTAAATAATTGAGACATTTGGGGCAATTACTAGTTCACAGATCTGTTACCATTCTTACTTCAATATAATTGCGAAATCTCACTTAGTACAATTATATATGCATACACACTTACCTGTGCGTGCGTGTGTGTGGCTCCTTAATTGAATTTTAAATTTCATATGTAATGATTTAGGCATCGTTTAGGGGCTCGACTGGAGGCAGTAGACAGTAAGTAATTGTGTTTCTCTTTTTTGTATGAATTTTGTTCATCTTTTTCCTGCGTGTTTTTAGATATTACGTATTGTTAGTTTTCTTAAATTTTGCCCATGAATTGCGTTTGTGTAATTCACTATTCGTGTTGTTGCTGTCATAAATTTTGTGGTAGAATCAAGCGAAGTCGAAGTTATGGCTGGGCATGATGATTCGGGAGCATCTGAAAAGAAATCAAGTGAGGCTATAAACGATTTACCAACCTTCAACGCTGAGAATATGCAAAACAACATGAGAGTTATTTATTACAGGTCCGTTTTATCTCTTTACTACCTTTCTAAGCAATATGCTATATAGATTTGAGTTTTGGATTACTCTCCAACTCAAATTTTCTCACAAAAAAAATCAATCACCCACTTTGAATGGACACTGTACCCAACTAAGCTGATGGTAGGAGATTGATTTTTAATAGAGCTGGACAACAATTCGAAATGGAGGCGGGCCTTGCGATTAAGGATTGACTCTCAAGCTATTCAGCCTGACCAAATATGTACATATGGAGAGAATTGAGAGACTAAGTTGGTATACCTTGTCCAGTGCAAGTAGATAAAAACATAGTGATATGGAGATGTGCCCTTAGTATTATTTCTATCTTAGAGGTTGAACTTGATATTTTAAACATGTGTGTGAAACTTGTCTGGTAGATTTGCTGATTGGATTAGCTACTAAGGCATGAGGTACATGAGGTTAAACTTTTAGAACCAAGGCATTGTTTCCATCTCAAAACCATTTTGCACTACATTTGCTGATGTTTGAACTGTCAGAGTTGTGATTGTGAAACATATATTGTGGCCGTGAGAAAACTAAGAAGGTGGCCTGTGCCTAAGATTTTGCATTGGTTACTATAAGTCAACTTAGGCTATGTTGTCTTTTTTTATTAAGGATCATTGGCTTCAAGTGTGTGCTGATAGTTGAGGCTTAGGATTTTGTTATTGTGTCTCTTTTGCTGGGCTTATAGTTTTGCTTTTAATCTCTTTCTTTTACTTTATATATCTTTTTCGTATGTATCTTTATCAAGAGGACTCCTTGTCCTCTTGTGTACTTTTCAATGATTTTTTTAAGGATTAATAAATTTTCATGTTTCCTATCAAAAAAGACTGTTGTCCCTTTTGTGGGTTGCTGCTTAAAGAAAGGAAGGCTTTAACAACCACAAAACTTCTACTGGAACTTTTGTGGTGATGAATTTTTTAATCTGTTTGAAAAGGGGGAAAACTGTCATTTGTCCTTTGTACATGCTATCTTAGGAGAATCAACACCAGCTTCCTTCCACCCAAACTGTGAAGTTTTGGGTTAAGGCATTGAGGGGAATCATATTTTAATTATGTGACCTAATAAAAGCCAAATGGGGAAAATTATTTGCTTATCTAACTCCAACTCTCCAAGTAGGTGGTTTACTGCATTGTCAAATAGGAAAGCTTTAATTTGAAAGACCTGTGTTGATAGTTTAGTATTTAGCAATTATTTTCTATTGTCTTGCTTGCTTGTTTTACATTTTTTAAACTGGTTAAATTGGTATCCATGCTTCAACCTGAGGTTGCTCATTAATGCAGCCGAACATTTATGTCTATCATTGGAGGATTCATTGCTGGGATTTGGGGATTTACTAGCTTGATGGGATTTATCTTTTATTTCCTCATCATGGCAATAACTTCAGTAGGACTAACAGCCAAGGCAGGGTTTACCATTCATTCATACTTTGATAGCTGGAACCGGATTATACTTGATGGCTTTTTGGGTGGGCTTATGGTACAGTTCCCCATCATCTTTCAATTTTGCATTTATCAAGTTTGCTCCTTTTTAGAACTTTTTGTTTCTTGGATTCACCACTGCATGACTACACTCCTTAGAGTTGTCACAGAAAACACATAGAAAAAGATACTGTAAGTTTTATGCTCAGATTGAGCATGCTCTATGTTGTATCTTAAAATGTTAACGATAAATATCCCTCTGTAATTACAGATCCAAAATTTTTTAAGTTTTTGCACAATAAGATGCTGGATAGTTCTGTTTTTTTTTTTTTTTCCTATTTGGGGAGTTGTCGTGGAAGTGAACCTCCAGAGCAGCCCCATAACAATATATCTTCAGCCTTTCAAATGTGTTCTTGATATTTGTAGAAGTTCTACTGTCCAAAGATTTGTTTGAATTATTTTTACAGTTAACGACCAGAAAAATAGATGTATTTGAATTCTGTTAGAGTTACTTGCGACTTATGCAAGATGGATTTATGGGTTGCACCTTTGGAAAACTTTTTTTTTTTGGAAAATAAACAAAGCAAGTTCCTGCAAAATCCCAAGTTTTATAGCCTTTGCACAATAGGAAGATTTACTTCCGAGTCACAAGTTTGATAATTCACTAAATAACAACCAAGACTGATAATTCTTCTCTGCACTTTATAAAAAGGTTTGGTTGTAATTCCTGTCAATAAATCATGCCAAAATTAGAATTTGTTGTATGCTTGTGTTGGAAAAAACTCGATTACTACTTGTTTTTATTTTAGTGCTCCGATATGTTAAATGACTAACATGCCTTCATTTTTTGCAGTCCTTCGTGCTCTTCTGGACGTATCCTCTGTATGCTTTTTTTTAATTCCTTTTACTAATTGTAGAAAGCAATCAGCTCCTGGCATTGGATTTTCCAAATGTCAAATCTTATAAAAACGTGTGCTGTCTTTTTCCTCACAGCATGCTCTATTGAAATGTTTTAGCAAATACTAGAGATTTTTTCACCCTCATAATTACTATGATCGTATGATGGTATGATTCTGCATTTTTCTTTGACACAAGAAGATTTTCTTATGACATCGTGCATATATTCTGAGGGAACTTGCATGGAATGAAGGCTCTATTGCTGCTACCTGAGGTGATTAACTTATATCCAGGGGTGTCCAATGAAATTGGCGACATCTTTTTCCAGATTTTGATGATTCGCGTTTTTCAATGAACCTGTGGAGGTGTTAATTTGTTTGAAGTTTGGAATTATCATTTATTCTGTAATGTTTCTTTGGCAGTGGAAACTGTTATAATTGCCTCATACAATGACAAGAAACCAAATGTCTTAATTTTCCTGTCTTCTACAATTAAGTAGCTAGTTAATGCTTTTAATACATCATGTGCTTCTCTGCTTTATCTATTTTTTTTTTTTCCTTTTTATCTAGGGTAGCTACTCAGCTTTATCATTTACCCAAATGTGTGTATTCCACGCCAAGGTTACATTGTTCAACTTATGTGCAAACTAATGGTTTGTTCGTTATTTAGAATGCTTTTCTGTGACTTATCTATCAAACTAGTGTAGAAGCACCACCCTATAACTGGGTGCCTGTGCATGTACATAATTCAAAGCAGAGTTCTACGTAAATGCACTCAGACCATGGGCATGGGAATTCACATGCTCCAAAGCAGTCAGTTTTACCGCGCTGCTGAAATAGGGCTTTTGTGTGTGTGTGTGTGTGTGAGAGAGAGAGAGAGACAGAGAGAGAGAGAGAAGGGTGGGGGGGGGTGAGGGGAATTGACAATTTCGTACTCATGATGGCTATAATGGTCTCCTCAATTAGAGGTTGAATCCTGTAATCAACTATAATGCCACAAAAATCAATAAGACAAGGTATGGAAAGTACAGCCTCTTCATCAAAGGTTGACTTCATTAACGCCCTTTTCCTATGCAATAGCTGTCCTCAAAGCTACATTTCTATCCACTATCCAACTCTGCCACTGCGTCACTCTGCTAAGCAGTAAAGCCTCTTGCAATCGAGCAGTATGGTTAATATGCACACTGATGCGCAAGCATGTGCCATTCTACGATATACATTCTGAATTCTCACGCCTGTGGATACCAAACAGATGACCAAATTCCTAAGATAAGACATCGCCGATATAATTGGAAATTTTATTATGTAAAGCAGTGGATTTAGCAGGGGAAGGAGAAGTGAAATAAATGGCTATTGAAAAAATTCTGACTTGCACAATTGGTTCAACTACTAGGAGACCAAAACTCTTACCAGCATCTGAGGTATTTTCAAGAATACAGAAGCCAACGTGTACAAAATGCTTGCAATCACTGCTGCAGCAACTATGTTGTAGGCCAACCGCTTATCATCTTTACTGGGTACAAATGCCAATTTCAACGTATTTGTGAGTTGGAAGAGCCTATGTGAAACCTGCAAGCATATGAAAAAAAAACCATCACACCACATTTTCTTGAGATTGTTAACGATGATATCATCAATACTTACCGCAATATATATGGAAGTGGTGAGCAGGAAATTCAACAAAGGATAATTGGGGATCAAGCAGAGCAAGAGTTTAGGCTGACCATCCGGCACACCTGATCTGCATATATACAGAGCAATTCAAAATCAATACATCTATATCTATAAAACCTGTCCTTGCCTGCACAACTTGAGAAAAACATGGTTTCATCTTCCATAGATGTCGGAGAAAGATTCATAAGGCTTTATAACTCTTTCATTAATGCAACTGTTTAAGAACGGGTGGAGAAACATATTTGGAATTTTAAAGATTTAATTTCTTCCAAAAAGTCAAAGGGTGGATGCCTCTTACAACTAAGGCATTTTACATCTTTCATGTCACGGAATATTATCTCCATTCACACGAGGCAAGGGGGGCGGGGGGCGGGG